TGTTGTCACCCCTAATGAAAATCCTTAGGCTAGATCCCTTGTAATAGTTATCTTAGGGACATAAGGTAAGGATAACGGGAATGGGTAATTTGGTTGACTGATTGATGTTTAAACATAATAAATTTATGTATTGTGGGTTGAAAACCCTATATGCTAACCAGGCTTCGAAGCCTGACCCACTCAGCTGTTTATATTACAGGTAGAGGACCTCGAGCATAGTCGGATGATGATGATGAGTGAATTTTGGATTATAGGCCAATAGTTACAAATAATTGTCGTAAGGCTTATAATGTCCCGTTTATGCTTTTGATCTGTATCGAAACATGACATCCCGATGTTTTGTTATAAAAAGGAAATGATATATTTCTTAAAGAAAGGTTTTGACAAACTTTTATCATATTTTGTTTTGGGGACCAAATTCCGCAACATCTTTTATAAATATTCCTCTTATTTGATTTTAAAAAACATAAATTAAATCGGTCTTTTCTGGCCGAGAAATTAGGGGATGTCACATCAACCTTCAAAAATGGAGTTGTGCCTACTGCCAGAAGTGGTAATAGCTCAGAAAATGCAGTGAACCTGTTAATTGTTATGTTACCACAAAAAAATGTTTCAGAACACAACAAGGGCAAAATGAGAAAATTAAGAAATTATGAGGAAAATGGTTGGAGAAAGATGTAAACATGCTTACTAAAATAAATGATTAATAATTAAGTGAAGCAAGCAAAGTAAGAAGAAACAGGTAAATAGGGAAGGAACTTGAAATTACTCTTAGAATGCTTACAAGGAGATAATTCTAAAGGCTTTAAGTAGTATAACGAAAGGGTGGGGCTATAGAACAATTACAGTTTCCTTATAGTGAACTTAGGTTATTTATAATTATAATGGCAAGACTTGATGGATGTGGGGTAGATTTGACTTAATTTTCAACAAAGGGTAAATAGGCCATTTAACTTAACCTTTAAAGACTCAAGATTCTTGTAACTCATGATAGGGTCGGGAGAAAGACACAGCTAACCCACAGGTTCAACCTTGACTCTCTAGTTGAACAATTTTACTTCTCCAAGTGGCTTTGTTGAAGCATTGGGACAAGAGCATCTTTTGTTGAAGATTGTTGGCCAACACTTGGTTAGCCCATTGGTTTTGTGTTTAAGAGTACTGAGTTAACCCGGGGTGGACCGGGTGGGTTCGGGTTGAGCCATAAAGTGACCGGTGTGGGATACTGGTTAGGTGAAGACTAGAGGTGTTTAATAAAGGGGAGAGATTAAGGTCTGAAAAGGGAATTTGGGAATGGGAATGGGAATGGGAACGATGATGTGGCGAGGGGAGACTGTTGTGGGCCCCAGGTGAAAATGAAGGGAGAGATGAGGTTGATGTGAGTATGGATTCTGTGAAGAATTAGTGTTTCTCTGTAGGGTATGATGAAGCTCTGTATAAGGGTTTAGGGTCTGAAGGGAGATGAGGTTTTGAAGACCATCTTCTGCTTCCATGGCTGCTTTCTGTGTCTGAGATGTGTTGGTCTTGCCACTATAGTTGGTCTACTAAAGCAGATGAACCTGAAAATATGTATATTTTTTTATAAAAGAACATGAACAAAGTTACAAAAGCAATGAAGATCAAAAGTATTTCTTGAATAGATTTGATATATATACTTACTTTCTCTTGAAATAGATCCTAACCCTTGATCACCAATAACTCCAGGATGTCTAGGTCCGCTTACTGATCTGTTTAACTATTTAACAAAACAAGAAATTTAGTTAATTTGGCTAAAAAAATTCACAGCTTCATTGTGAAAAATTGAAATCAAAACTATACTTTTGAAAATATAGTTGACAGATTATCTAAATCCAATAGAGATCTTGTACCTGACTCCTATGCAAAAAGAAGATGTAAGATTTAGAAAGATGAGATATTTTATCACTGCATAAAGTTAATTGAAACTATTGTAACGACTTTAGATGTTTAAAATGTGAAGTGATGAATGCATAATATCTCAAGCGTTTAGATTTATTAACAATAAATGAAAATAAATATGGAGTGCAGTGAAAACAGAAGATGCACAATGTACATTACACCTCTTCTCTGTCAAATAAATGGCATTCATCATCAGGGACTCCAGTTGAAGGATTATCTTCATCTTCTTCTAAGCACCCAAACTCAATTTTCTCAGTAGTAGGTCGACCAAAAAAAGCATATTGTGAAACATCAAAGAGTTTATCATCTACACAATAATGAAAGAATCAGGCATAAAAAACAAAATCTTGAAACAATAGAAATAATAAGAAAGAACAGTGATGCTTGCAGACAATAAAACCAATGATAATTTGTTCTATTGCTCGATGAACTTATTTGGTTTTCTTCCTCACGTAAAAATGGTAACATATTCGACATCCAGATACCGAAATATGAAATTGTGTGGGGTGTAGGTACTAGTAAATCATTCAAATAAAAGATTCCTTCATCGGAGATATCACCTCAATCACACAAGAGAGAGAGAGAGAGAGAGAAAGAGAGAGAGAGAGAGAGAGAAAGAAAGAGAGAACCTTGATCTAAGGGAAGAGGCCATGGTAGCCACGAGATTTGAGAAAACTGTATGCGACATCCTTAGAACCATGAGTATCGGGAGCAGAAGAAGTGCCTCCAACGCAAAATTAGCTATGGCCACCGGAGGAGGAAATCATGATTGAAACTTGTATGGTTTTTTTGGTTAGGGTTTTACAGAAGAGAAGAGAAGAGGATTCAAAATCGAAATTAGAGGCATGAATAAAGGAGAAATAAGAACCTGGATCTTGTCTTCGACATTATCGACGATGTCGACCTTGCTTTCAACATCGAGTGGGAGATATGGTGGTTCCGGTGGGTAGAAGTAAGTGAGCCTTGATCGATGTCCTCCCTTTCTCTCGAACGCTTTTTGTATCCCACATATATTCCTTTATAACGGAGGTGAAGGGAACGCACACAAAAACCCCTATGAGAGAGAAAATAATAGTCGATTTGAAGCAACCTACAAATGAAATTGAAAGGTAGAGGCGCTACACTCCTTTTTTTGTTCATGTCAGCACACATCAACATAGAGAAATCGAGAACCCCTGCGAGGTTTGATCTATTCAGAAGACGGGATCAGAGATTTGGTGATAT